CAGCAGAAATGCAGCGTTTGTTTCGATGATAGCCTCCTCATGTCAGGATGCGGTCTTTTTTGTTAAGGACGGGATAAGTTACACTGTTAGAAAATTATTCTTGAAATTTCAAGTGAAAAAGCTTGAAATTTTTAACAACGACAAAGTTACAGGAAATTTCTGTAGAATTTCTCATTGATAAATCAGTTGATTTCTTAAATAATTAAGTAATTCTCGATTTTCAGGTCCATCCGGCACTGAAAACTCGAAAATGTTGAAAATTCAGGCAATGACTTCTTTGAATTTTCAAATCTACTGAAAATTGAATTGTATGTGATGTTTCATTTTCACGATGAGTTTGAAAATTCAAGCTTTCATTGAAAAATCAATGATTGTTTAACATGCAAAATCCAATTTTCTGGAATTTTCAAGATGAGTGAGAAATTTAGTGAACATTTTCATTTGAAATTGAATTCAAACTTACAACATTGAAAATACAGATAACATTGTGACTGAACTTTCAAGAAATTTCTAACAGTGTACATGTTGGGTTCTTAAATTATAAGCCAACGCGTTCTCAAACTAAGAACATTCGAATGAGATAAAATTCTGGAATTTTCTTTCATTCGAATGGAACATCAATTGAACATTAATTGTGTAAGAGTGTCACACTTAGAAATTCTTCGAAATTTCTTGGAAAATATGGTAGTAACTCTCATAATAGTGACATTGAATTCGATTTAGGGGGAAATGGTTATGACGGTTCAGAAAATTCTAGGGAGAATTCAAGGAAACTAATGAGTTTTCAGTGCGAATGAGACGGAAATGTCATAATTTGACTGAATCTGCAATGGGACATGAATATTCAAAAATAAAATGACATGAATTTTCAATTTTTCTCTGAATTTTCCTGATCTGTTCGAATTTTCACGAAATAATTTACTTTAAAAATCAAGTATTTTATTGATTTTCAGATCATTCAAAAGGAAAATGAATGGAATATTTGATTTTTCCATACCAAGTTTTCCTGAAATTTCGGTGGAAATTTAAACACTAAAAATTTCCAGAATTTGCTAAAACTGAATCCAACGGAAAATTCAGACGTAAATTGTTAACAGTGCAGGGCATACACGTTGAATGGCAAAGGATTTGTAAATATGAGTAGATTCATTTTAGAACAAGAATAACTATAAATTCAAAAATGAGAAGAAATGAAATGAGTTTATTTGTCTGCATCTCTTTTTAATTTGAGAATCCCAAAAATAGATTTATCTATTCCAAAAAATTGTATTCTCTAGCACCACTTCTTCGTTATTCGAACTCTCATACGTATTTGGCTCCCGAAAAATGATAGTTTTGCTAAACAAGGGGCTGTAGGAACTTTAGTTTTGGAAGGAATTCTTGAATAAAATAATAATGGTCATATGATAGCAATCTTGCAGCGTAGAGGCACAATATTTCTTGATAAACTTCCCTCTATAACAGATATTTTCATCCGGAAAGGGATGCCTATGAATGCCATCTCTTTTTTGGTCAATTTCAACTTGCTTTTTTTTTTGGCCAAATACGACTTGTTTAATAATTTGTTCGTTTCCCTCTCAGTGTAAAAATTCAAATGTCTTGCATTTCACAATCAAGATGTTCTTGAAATGAGCGAAAATGTACTCCTTATTCAACCATAATGATGCTATATTTTGATGAAAATTACTCAAAATTAGAAATTTTTCTCTGATTGTTAGTGAAAACTCTCCGAAAATAAACCGAAAATTGACGTATTTCTGGAATTTTTTCCTCCCTAGATCTCGGAGCGACAGGGGTTCTGCAATTCGGGAATTTTTACTGAAAGCTAACATGAAATTACTTTTTAAAAGTCACTGTATTTCGAGATAATTCAATATTTAATAACATACGAACAAATGCCATGTATTGTGAATTCTCACCACTCAAATTAAATTTCAAACTGATCTTTGACAGAATATGAAAGTGAAGAAGAAAAATGGTAATAATTTTGCCCATTACATTCATGATATTTATTCAATAATTGAATCTAAAATCTCCATGAAACCCCACCTCGTTAAAAAAAAATCAGTGGCGCCCATCATCGGCGTCTGGCCACTCATATACCTTTTCCACTCAACCACCATATGCATTCGCACCCGTTGTTTCGTGTTAACGGGCGGCGATCCACTCGTAAATTGCCCCCCGTGATGTCCATTGCTCCGAAGGGAGAGTAAGCGATATACCCCATACCCGGCCCATTCAATGGGATGAAGAGAGTGAGAGAGAGACTAAGGGGCGGAGGTGGGGGGCAGCAATCCGGACGGAGCGATCAAGGGCCCCGTCGAGCATCGATCATGAGATTCACGAGTGCGCGTCGCGTCGGAGGGATTCCTTTGCCGGTCACGATCGTCCGCCAATTACTGACTGTTGTTGTTGGCTCTTTCTCGTTTTCTCTCCCCCCCCCCCCATCCCCCAATTGCAATGGTGAATACACACCACAGCGAATTATCGCATTTCATAAATCGCCGAGTGACTACTCACAGTAACCTTCAATCGTTGTACAGTTGAGTTTATATTCGTGAGAGAGATAGATGGGTCGGGGGAATGGGATTGCGGATGACCCGGAAGACGAGCGGTTTAATTTGATCCCGGGGTAGTGCAAGTGGTTGGCTCTCGGACGTGAGGTTTCCACAGCCGTGGCGTTTATCGAGGGGATCTATGGAGTTTCATGAATTATGTAGTTATGGGAAATTGATTCTGATTATTTTTCCAACCCAAATATCGGGCAATATAATTGGCCCATTCGACATCACATGGTACAAGCTACAGGATTTTCAACTGATAATTTTTTGATAATTTTCTCTGGTAGTTGCTATGTAAAAAACAAAACATCATGCAGTCGAATCAACCCCTCGTCAAACTGACAGATTGAATTCAGTTGTGGTAATCCGAGGATTTTTATTCGAAATGAGTGTTAATTATACAATTTTCGTTTCTCAATTGTGTTTCGTCTCATGGTCCAATTATATTGCCCGACAATTGAATTGGAAAAATAATCCCCCGAATACCACACGAGCTTCAGAATTAATCGGGCATTTTCCTCAAGGTTCCCTGCATACAAACGAAGTTGTCAGATTTTACAGGAAAAATTACTCGTGCTTCGCACTCGTGATTTTTTAACCTGAAAAGCTTGACTCCTTCGTTTGTTTGCAACGAACCTATCGGAAAATACCCGATAATTTTGAAGCTCTTGTGGTATTACAAGTTATTATTTTTAGCAAGTTGAAAAATTTATTTGAATTGTGGTATAGTTGAGGGCGATAATACGAAAACTAATTTGAAGATGTGAGAATTCATTTATGTCTCAACTTGATGGGTTTACAGACAATATGTAACTTGCATGGAGCTCAGTTTTCCCTAATTTCCCCTATTTCCCTACATAACCCGAGACAGCTAATCGAAAAAAATTATTCAGAAATATTGTCTAGATATTGTACACTAATCTCTCTATATTATAAAAATCCAAATCGACTTCTGGTGATAAAAATTTAGTACTCGACATTTAGACTCAGAGATTAGGGATCATGAGGGTCATAAAAAGGGTGATGAGGGTCAGAATAAGGGTCACAAGGGTCGGATTAAGGGACCAAATAATGGTAAAAAGGGTCAGATTAAGGGCCAAATAAGGGTAATAAGGGTCAAATTAAGGGTCTAAATGAGTGTCACAAGGATCAGAATAAAGGTCACAAGGGTGAGAGTAAGGGTCCTAATAAGGGACGTGGAGGTAAAAATCCAAAGATCAGAAACTACGGGTCATCAGGGCCACTCACGGGTCATGAGGGTTATAATGAGGGTCAGATTAAGGATCACAAGGGTCAAGATAAGGGTCTCAATATCTCTTTATATTGTAAAAATTCAAGTCGACTTTTGGTGGTGAAAATTTGATGCTCCAAATTAAGACTACAAAATTAAGTGTCAGATATGAAGGGTTAAAAAAAGGTTCACGAGGGGTATAATAAGGATCAGATTAAAGGACACAAGGGCCAGAATAAGAATCATGGGGGTTGGCGAGGAGAGCGATCGGGGGGCGTAGCCCCGTCGTTAAGATTATAGAAATGGGAATATTGAATATTACTAAAATGGTAATCTTTAATTCTCGATTCAGAAACTTTCAGGAAGACTAATTACGAGGGTTAATCGTGCGAGGGTCAATCATTATAACCTCACAAGCCCTCTTGCCAGGATTGATGTTGTTCCGTCCCCTGAATGTGGATGTCCTGAGGTGGACTTGAATCATCTATTGTGGCAGTGTCCTTTATGTAGTGAGGAAAGCCCGCAGTTGTGCAATAAACTGAAAGAGCAAAGAATGTTCTCCCTCATGAGAGTCTTGAAGCCCTTTGACTTATATTTAGGTCGAATGTAGATGAATGTAGATATTTAAAAAAAATATATCTATCCACAACAATGTCCATCTTGACTACTCATACGTTAGTTTTTACGTTACCACCGCAATACTGTAAATAATGATGGGTTTTTATTAATTTTTGACTCTATAATCGGCCTTTGTGCTGTTGGGTCTGTATACACCGTTAAATGAATAAATAAATAAATAAATAAATGAAAATAATAGTTTTTTACAGCAGAGTAAACCTGTGGGTTTCAATGTTTCAATGAAAAAAGGCACAAATTTGAGAATGATAAATATTGCAGTTGGACGGAAATTAAATGAAAGTAGATTCGTCAGTTATTTCAAAAGTATTCTCAACCGGATTCATTTAGGAAAACATCAGAAGATAATTTTTATGGAGAATTTTATGGACTGCAAAAAGAGATCATGTGATATTTCCCTGTAAACCTAATGGTTTCAGAGATATCACCCAAAAATTCGATGTCTACTTCAATCAGTATTTATTTGATTATTTTTATAATTTGAAAAGGAATTTCTTTGACTGTTCTCTTCCTCTCCTGTTTTTGATCATTTTAAACAATTATATTTAGGATCTATTCTTTTTGTTTTGCAGGTTGCAACGAGACCTTGGAGTCCGGATCAAGGGAAGACACGAGAGATGACAAAGCTGTGCAACCACAAGAGGAAACTTTTGTTGCCATCAGCAGCGGCTAGTCCGGTTGCATCTTGTACATCAGTTGTATCTTCCACTATTTTACCTGCACCGGGACCACCAATTCATGCTAGTGCTGATTCACCAACTTCAACTGACAAGTTGAAGAAAGGTAATTAAATTATAAATTTATTCATCCCTTATTTGGTTTGCGGCTATTGTTAACCTCTAATGTCACCCGGAGAAATGGTTTAATGCAATTAAATAACCTTTATTTCACCGCAAACTTTATGTTTATTTACGTTTTTATGCACATGAGATGAATAGTCCTTTAGGTGCAAATAAATGTTTCCTCGTTTTAAATAACGATTTTGTTAGTCACAAATGAAATCATTATTCAGACACCGAGAAGGACGAATTAATTAACATGTAATAATGCCTTATTCCATGGAATTGGAACATTTTCATTGAAATGAGTAGCTGAGTTTATTAATATCCGAAGAATAATATTGTTGAAACAGAGCAGTTACGATTTGATTCAAAGGTGTCATTTCTCTGGGTGTACCTCGCCTCGAGATATTTTCCAAAAAATGATGTGTCTAGAAGTCAAATTTTTTCATCTTGTTTTACCATCTCACTGTCAAATTCACGTCAGATTTTAAAAAATGTACAATTATACTGTTAAAATTTGGCTGAGATTTTCGGAAAAAGACTTTAAATTCGATTTACGGGGAGAAGGACAATAGAATTTCAAGTTTCTCTGAAAATTCAAGTGAAGTCCCAATTTTTTAGTGACAGGAAGACGGAAGTTCAATTTGTGACAATGAATTTTCAGGGGATTCCCTTCCAAATTCTTGGGATTCCAGGAATTTTCACCAATTTTCCTGGAATAAATAAACTGAAATTTTCAGTTCCCACGGATTTTTCCATGAAATTATGAATTTTCAATCACAAAATTCTTTGAAATTTCGGTGAAAAATTTTTAACAGTGCATCTCTACACTGAGAAAAAAAAACATTTTTTTGAGAAGCACCTTCTTACTTGTATCAAGAAATTCATAGCTCGAGAATAGACAAGAAGAAAATACCTTACACTGAGAAAAGAAGCCGTTCGTTAAGAGATTTTGTACTTGTCCGAAAGGTGAGTCGCAATTTGTTCACAAGAAAGCAAATTCTCGAACCTAGTCAAGTGGTTTTTGCATTAAAATATTTTGAATTTGAGACTTAAAAACCGTTGGATAAATTGATTCAACTAGACTTAATTTGAGAAATCCCTTTCTTCTCATAAACAAATTATCCTTGCCTTTGGTGCAGCTTCAAAATCTCTTGATGAAAATTTTTTCATTCTCAATGTCAGATATTTTCTTCTTCAATTTTCGAGCCATGAATTTCTTGATACAAGTGAAGACGAACTTGTCAAAAAACTTTTTTTCTCGGTGTCCATTCCCTGAGACTTTGTTTTGGTTTTCAAGACAATCAAAAACCGTGCAGAGAAAGATAATTGCATACGTACCACAAACTTCACGTTTTGTCGAACCCATCACGCCCCAAACTCCAAAACTTATTCGGTCCCCGCAGTTTAAGAAACTTCAATTCCACCCATCATCAAATGTATCTTCGACAGTCGCTGGACACGAATCCATTCCTCTACAAACTAACCCAGATCGTTCCGTATAATCATCCAGACATTTATCCCCCATCGGTTGGGAGCATGTGCCAACTTTTATTGGAGGAAGACCAAAAGTTTCACTCCAACGGATGTCGCACCGTTTTCCCAACCCCCTGTCTCCCTCCACCTCTCCCAGTAATCAGTAGAAAAAGTTGTGTGAAAAACGGAGAACAAGACCCAGAGTGGTTGGAGCATTAACGAAGAGTCAGATCGTCGGAGCTTAATCGCAGTGGTAGTGGTCTGAATAGTGCGGTAGTTCACAGCAGCTTTTCATGCCCTCTCTCTCTATCCTACGTCTCCCCCTCCTCCTCCCCCTCCCCCACTCCCTCTGGAGTTCCGCTTCCGACCGCTGCAACCACCCAATCGCCAATGGCATTAAACCGGAATGATATATAACCCGAGTCAGGGTATTAACGGTATCCACTGCTTTTTCATTCATCCCCTCCGTCCCCCCTCCGTCACTATTAGAAACAAAAAAAATTCGAAAGTTTTCCATGAGAAAAGGAAAACACAAACTAAAAACCCATTACCAAATTCCCATTTTTACTCGCCATATTTTTCACTAGTTTTGTTCTTTCAGTTTTCCTTTTTCTTATTTATGATCTGAAGTAGTTCGAGAGTTTACCGACTGTTTTGACGTTATTTAAAGCATAAGGGGTGGGTGAGAGTAAATTCAATGAAAAACAACATCTCTCTCTGATACGTGGTAATGTAAGGAATAAAAGTCTAGAGACAAAAAATGAAAAGGGAAAGTAAAATTGAGGGGAGAAAAACCCTTGTTACTTATACTCCAGCTTTTTTCTTCCTGCAAAGTCAAACACGTGTGTATTACGAAGGGGGCGGGGGGAGGGGAGTTCGTATTTTCACCTTTTAGTTAAGGAGCTTTAGAGCAAAGAGAAGCCTCTTGGGATTTTTTTTCGCTCTTTCTTCAAACTCACAACATTCATTTGGGATATAAAGGGGGAATGTCGAGTGGAAAAAATGTGTAATGTATTCAAACAATTTTTAACTCAAGTTCGTCATGTTTTCGACGGTAAATTCCACTTTGTGAATGGGGAAGGGTCTTTTGCTCTTTCTTTCATTGAATCTTCTGAAAATTGCATTTGAAGTCATTTTCATAATGCTTTCAATTTCTCTCTGAATTTGATACTTCAAGGATATCCAAGTACTTTGGTTATTTTTTCGCCAGTGAAGTGCTTTTCTACTTTTGTAGTCGAACTTCAGAGCTTTCATGTGAGCCCCATTTGACCCTGAGTTTCTGGATATTTTACAATGATTTTATTGTTTAAAACTTTGCAGGTTCACACTGAAATCTCAATATTGAATAGTTAGACAACATTTTGAAAATCGGAAAAAAATTAGAAAGTTGACTTTTAGGAAGATTGACGCAAATCTGCGAGATCGTGAATAATTTCGAAGTCAACAAATACCCCGATACAGATCGTATAGGCAAACCAGAGTCCACTGAACACTGTTAAAAATTGTTGTCTGAAATTTCCGGTACACTTTTTGGAAATTTTTGGCGAATTTAATTACCACTGAAATTTCAAGGAATTTCGTCATTGAAAATCCAGAATTTCGTGGAAAAAACAAAAAAAACTGTACACTTCAGTTTCATTCTTCCCTGAAAATGAATAGAAAACCAGAAAATTCCGGTAAATACATTCTTGAATTTTCAGGACAGTGACACTGAATGCGATTGTGGGGGAAAAAAATATGAAATTTCAGATTTTCCTGAAAATTGAATGTAATTTGGCACTGAATATTTATATCATTAGCTGTGTGACTTAATTTTTACAGATTTTTCAGTAAATTTATTTAATATAAAAAAATAGAGAACAACAAACTTAATCTTGGCAATATTGTCCATCGTTTTCTATGACCTTGCGTCATCTCTCAGGAAACATTCGAATGCCGTCACGAAAGAAACTTGCAGGCTTCGAGGCGATAAAGTCATCGACGAATTTACGCACATCGTCCAGCGTTTTAAACTGTGTATCCACTAAGGCGTGCGGCATGGACCGGAACAAGTGATAGTTGGATGGGGCCAAGTCTGGTAAATATGCCACGTGCGGGAGAACTTCCCATCCCAAGTTTAAGAGGGTCTTCTGAGTCGCGGGAGCAACGTAAGGTCGGGCATTGTCATGCAACAGTATGACTTTCCTGCTTCCTTGCCCAGTAAATGGCCTTTTCCGATCAAGTTCTTCGCTCAGTTTATTCAGTTGTCGGCTGTAGCGTTCCGCAGTCACCGTCTGACCTGTTTCCAGGAGTTCGTAATAAAGCCCTTCATGTCCCACCAGATACACAGGAGAATCTTCTTTAAGTGGATGTTCTGTTTCGGCGTCGATGTACTGGATTATCCGGGATTTACCCACGACTTTTTACGTTTGGGATTCTCGTAAAAAATATACTTTTCATCACCCGTCACAATTCTCCACAAGAAGTTCTTTTTCTGTTGCCGGGCAAGCAGTGAAAGGCACGTATTCATACGTTGACCTAGGTTGTGTTCGGTCAACACATGTGGAACCCACCTTCCAAGTTTTTGGATTTTTCCCATTTTACACAAACGCTTAGAAATAGCTGTTCGGGTGACTCCTAACTGAGCTGGAAACTCTTGTTGCATTTGCGTTGAGTCTTCATTCAGTAGAGCTTACAATTCCACATCTGTAAACTTTCGAGGCTGTCCAGGACGCGGCTGGTCACTCAGATCGAAATCACCACTTCTAAAACGTTTGTACCAATAATTACACGTTTCATAAGATACAATGTCGGCACCAAGAACACTACACATTGATTCCCGTGCTTCAGAAGCATTTTTTTCTTATTGGAATTCGTATAAAATGCAGTGCCGAATGTGCTGTTTATTAGTTGCCATCGTAAACTCCGCTATTCTGAAAGGTTATGTAACTTACATAGACTTGTCGTTCCGTGTTCTGAAACCTTTTGTCCGCTCCTTTCAAAACCAGAAAAGACGAATATATTTCTATTTTAAATATAATTTTAAGCTCGAAGAAAAAATCTGAAAAAATTAAGTCACACACCTAATAGATTGGAAATTCAAATAAATTAAGGAATTCTCGTCTTTATGCTGCTTAAAATTGTGGAATTTTACTGAATTTTCAGTGAAACCGGAAATTTCATGNAAAACGTTTGTACCAATAATTACACGTTTCATAAGATACAATGTCGGCACCAAGAACACTACACATTGATTCCCGTGCTTCAGAAGCATTTTTTTCTTATTGGAATTCGTATAAAATGCAGTGCCGAATGTGCTGTTTATTAGTTGCCATCGTAAACTCCGCTATTCTGAAAGGTTATGTAACTTACATAGACTTGTCGTTCCGTGTTCTGAAACCTTTTGTCCGCTCCTTTCAAAACCAGAAAAGACGAATATATTTCTATTTTAAATATAATTTTAAGCTCGAAGAAAAAATCTGAAAAAATTAAGTCACACACCTAATAGATTGGAAATTCAAATAAATTAAGGAATTCTCGTCTTTA